TTCCATTTCAACAAACGCCTCCTTCAAAGTAATCTACAGAGTCAAGAACAACCTATCAAAGGCAATACGGTTTCGCCTTCTTTGTATCGCTGAAGCTCTGGCCATTCACATAGAAAAACCGGAGCTGTGCATACAAAAAAGGATTACTCAACCACTTCTACTGTCTTGGTAACAACTTTTTTGATTTGATTTTTTTTATTTTGATGACTTAATTTTGTTTCTTTGCCTGTTCTTTAATTGCTTATGATTCTTGTATTCATTTAGAACTCTTACGTAATTTTGTATTATCTACTTTGTTCCTATGTGCATCCTGAGTAAAACTCACTCATCAAACTATTCATATTATTACATAACTTCTTTTAACAACTGTTTGTGACAACTCATCACCTTTGTTACCACCCTAATTTCACTAACACCTAATTTTCTTGACTGATTTTGTATTACGTAACTCCAATTACCAATCTTCACCTGTTTAGTTTAAATAACTATAACCAATTGTATTTTTGTTTGATAAACTTATTGTACACATACATACAAATAACACATATATATTTGCGATTGTACAGCTAAGAAAATGAATTCGCCGAAAAGAGACTCTTCGCTGATCTACGTGTTTTGTTTTCAAAAATGATATCAATCCGTGATCAACTCATAGAAAACAAAACTAATGCTTACAAACCAAACTCTTGAAAATTAATCTAATGTTCGCTAGTGACTTGCTACAGGATGGAGTTTCCTGGAATTCAGGTGAGAAGTCGTGACCAGTGAGGTCCATCCAGTCACGTGTGGGGATGGATGTCCAACCGACGACATTAGTTGGGGTCGCGCTCGACCACGAATTGGTAGAAGTTAGAATTCATGCTCTAGCCAGTGAATCGGGTTCCAGTGGCTGAATAGTATGCGAGCTTGCCTTGTAACCGGAAGGTCCTGGGTTCGAATCCCAGTGGGTGCTTACTGACGATGATTCCCAAACTAGGATGAAACAGCTGGCTGTCCAGTGCTCCCTGCTGGTTCTCAATGGTTCTCTAACTGATATCAATCCGTGATCAACTCGTAAAAAACAAAACTAATCCTTACAAACCAGCTATAGAAAAAAACTGATTTCTTCATTCGATTTCACACAAGTATTATTACGAATATACCTGATGTTAATCACAACGGAAAGCTCAGCAGGGTCTTTAAAGTGAAGACTGAAATAAGATAAGACTGCTTATTGTTACCCATACTATTTCTGATCGTAATGGACTGGATCCTGCAACAAACCGGGTAAACCCTAGGCCGACAGGAAGACACTAGCTGATCTGAACTTCACAGATGATTTATATCTCATGTCACACAAACTTGAAGATCCACAGGTGAAAACCAACAACTTAGCAGAAGAAGCATCGAAGACTGAAAAGAGTTCAATTGAACATAAAGGATACAGAGGTGATAAAGACACCAGACCAACAACAAGATGGAGTCACCATCAATGGGAGAAATCTAAAGGAAGTAATCTCTTTCGCTTATCAACGCAGCATCGTTTCAGTCACATGCAGCTGCACGAATGAGGATGTTAGTGATAATCTTGACGGATAAAGCAAGGCAGACCTTCATTAATCTGCAATCAGTGTGGAAATCTGCTGTACTCACCATAAAGAACACGATTCAGCTTTTTAACATAAATGTCAAGTCAGTCAGTGTTTTCATATGGTTCAGAGACTTCACGCAAGCGTCACCAAAAGTATTTCGTCAGCATTCATCAACACCTGTTTTGGATGCCTCGATAATGGAGATTAGATGACCAAAAAGGATAAGCAACATAAGATTCTGGAAACAAATCAACCAAGAAATTATTTTTCAACAAATATGTAGAGGAAAATGAAAATTGACTAGACATACTCTGAGGAGAACCTTGAGTAAGATCACGCGTCAGCCTCTCGAGTGGAAATCGAAAGGGAAACAACGAGTTGGCAGTCTGAAGGTAACATGAAGCAGATAGAGTGAGACGAAGATGAAAGCTTATGCGCTCGCTTGAATGTTCTAGGTTTGATCCCCTATGGGATTATAGGTAAATACTGTTGAAGAATCCCAGATTAGGGTGAAACAGCTGTCCGGCACTCCCTGGTTTTCATTGGTTCTCCAAATGATATTAGTTCATGAAACCAACCGGTATCAGTATCAATAAGTATTAACTATATATCTAAAGTATTTTATTCTAGTGGTGTCAGATAATTAGCCGATTTATATTGTAGTCAGATTGCAGTGAACACTTTCCTAAAGGCAACTGGTTTTAATTTTCCGGGATGATTAGCATGGAAGAAATGTACACAGTGCTATAGTTAGTGAGTCAGTGGCAAATCGGAGGATGTTGGCCAACTAAGCAAGTGGTCCGGGGTTCCATCCCCAGCCGGTAATAATAACTGTAAAGAGGGAAGGTTGGGCATGAGGCTAGCAAACCCACCCTGTAAAAAAAACACCCCTGCTACCGAAAGTTTAAAGCTCTAGTTTGAAGCCCTATTTTCCACTGGGAACGTAAAGGAATAAAATATTTAAAAAAATAAACAAGGACTGACCAAATTACACAGTTCTTGATTATTAGATTGAAATATATTTTTTGTTAAGCTCTCAAAACAAAAGATTATATTCATTTTAAAATTGAAGAATTAATTTTCAAGTATTGGTTTTGTAGAGATTTTGTTTGATTGGTTGGAGGATTTCATCATGAACTGACATCAGTTAGAGAACCATTGGGAAACCAACTGGGTATACCGGACAGCTGTTTCTTCCTAGTTTGCGACTCTTCATCAGTACGCACCCACCCCAGTGGGGTTCAAACCCAGGACCTTCTGGTTACAAGGCCAGCGATCTCGTGGACCATTAAGCCACTGGGACCCGATCGAATGGCTAGCCCATGAATTGTAACTTCTGCCAATTCATGACATAGCGTGACCCCTTCGCAATGTCTTCTTCGAAGAGTTACTGCCCCACCTTCAACCTGCTGTACCCTACTGGTCACGGCTTAATGGTCTACGAGCTCGCCTTGTAACCAGAAGGTCCTGGTTTCGAACCCGTGTGGTGCGTTAGTACTGATGAAGAGTCCGAAACTAGGATGAAGCAACTGGCTGTCCAGTACTCCCAGTTGGTTTTCCAATGGTTCTCTAACCGATGTCACCTCATGGTGGAATCCTCCAACCAATGAAGAATTCAATGTTTGAACCTCTACAGGTTTCCATATAGAAATGAAACAATTGTCCTGTTGTTTTTTATATTTTTCTCTAGTTCTAACCATCTTTGTTACTATTCTTACTCAATAATTCCAAATGTCACTATGCATTATGATCAATTCTACATAGTTACAATTAACTAAGCATCTCCCTCCCTCATTTTTGGATTGTTATCAAATCAGATTATTAATTTATCTGGTCATCAGTATCATAGTCACGAGTAATGCTCACTATGATTATTATTATTATTCCTGTTTTTATTATGCTTATGATTATTCCCCAAAGGAGACTTTGTGAAATTTAATTCCACCATAGGTAATCAAATATGCTTTATGCCACACTAACAGGATAAAACAGCTCAAATATTTCAAAATTAGTAGGGGAAAAAGGTAGGGAAAATATTTGAAGCTTAGCTTATTCGATTGTCCTCTATGCGTGTGTCTTTGTTTGTATATCTCAGTTTATTTTCTAAATATTAAATGACAGTCATTCAGGTTATGATGTAGTGAAAGTTGTTATGTTATGTTATATATTCACAATTGGTATATACATATAGAGTAATCACTTAAAATTGAATATTATGTTACAGCTTTTGTTTTTGTTTGGGTAAAACAGAAATTAGATTAGAAACAATCCGCATTGTTGTTGCTGTTGTTTTTTGTCTCTACTACTCTTATACTGACAGAGTGTTTAATACGCGTATAATTTCTTCTGACTACCAGTTGTCAGCTATCCAAGTAACTAACTAACTAACTACTATCTATCTAATTAATTTATTAAATAACTTGACTGCTCACCTAAGGAACTAATTAACCAATCAACAAAGCAGCAGTATGTCAACATGCATTACGGATGTACATTTAACTTTAGACTTTACCTTACTGCCTGAGATAAAAAAACAGCAACAACAAGCAAATCACCTGGCTTTATTCACAACTTGATTGGATACATTTTAGTTGTAGTGATATGAGCGATTAAAAAATAAACAAACTACTATTGTGATTATCAGTATAACAACTACTACTCAAATTGATACTACTGATTATTTGAGAACAGGCAGTGAAAAGAAGTATAAGAGTGTTGCTGAACTGATGCATACGTACACGTACCTCAGCTTAACTGCGCACTGGCGCAAGCATGTGCATACAAAAGTATGTTTAAGATACATACAGTCAAGCAAGACAGACAGAGAAAGAGAGAGAGTTCTTGATTGCGTACGTGTATCTGTATGAGGCAACCTCAACTCACAATGTGTGTTTTTTACTTCTGTACTTCACAATTCACTACCTTGATTTTCTGAAAACTACTCACTGATGAAGAGATTTTATAGTTGAAGGGGGTTTCACTAGTTGGACACAAGATTGGTAAGAGAATTTCATTGATGATGGTGAATCAATGAGAAGACACAGTGAATGGCAAACAAACTGGTTGAGAAAGAGAGAAGATGAGATTGAGTGAGTGAGTGAGTGAGTGAATGTGTATGTGCACAGATGCATAAATATAAATCATACACACACACATTCACAGCTGTTAATGAAAACACAGAGGGAGAGAAAAGTGAAACAGATTGAGGGAATGAGAACGATTTTTATCATAGTAGTAGTAGACAAGCGAACATTTTTATGTTAGTTAGTTCCAATCTGTTTTCACTACTCATGTAAGTTTGTATACAACAAGAGAGAAAATGAGTGAGGGAACAGATAGCGTATTGAGAGAAAGCACAGGTCGATATATACATACACAGAGAACCACAGTGAAAATTTCTCTCCCTCGCCTTCCATTTAAAAATTCACCAAAAGGAAGATTGAGAACAGATTTCTCTGATTTGTAGATTCATATTTAACTTTTGTATTTCTTCTCTTACCATATTCTATTTGTTACTACTGCTCTCTACTCCCACTACCAATCCCTTCCTTTTTCCAACGGATCTTTTATAAAACTTTCATTTTTTGGTGTTGTCTTTCACAGTTATTATTATAAAGAGATTAGTGCTTATTTCATTAAATACGGAGTACAAAATTCAGTGATTCGGAATACTTTAATTTCTATTACTACTACTACTACTTATTGCAAAAGATCTCAGAATTTATATGGTAATTACAATCCTTGTAAGTCTAATACTTTGTATCTTTGATTCGCATTATTTGTTTTGTTCACCGTTTTGCGCATATGTCGTGTACATCTCACTGGAGGGAGTCTTAACTAGCTATTGTCTAATACTTGTGTTGACCACAGGCTGCCAGATAACTGGAGAATACATATTCTTAGTTTGAATTTACAGATTCTTAGGAACTGACTACCTTTTTTCCTGAAATAGTGAGAATCACAGTGTGTTTCTTAGTTCAGCGTCAATTCCACTTGTTGTGTAGCATTACACACTACCATTATTATCACCATTATGGTAGGTAATAAAACTACTCATGCAATAAGTGTGGGAAATACTACTTTTACGAGTTTTCATCAAAGCATCAAAACTATCCAAAAGTCGTGTTCATCTAGACAAAGTAATCTCTGTAAGACTTAAATGTGAAGGAAAAGGAAACCTGTAGTTCTTATAAAACTTTAGTTTTATATTGGTCTGGGTAAAAAGCACCATTAAATCAAATGAGCAAAGACTACCCCAAATTGCAATGATGGCTCAGTCAAAGCCTGAAATATCACTTCGAAAACGGTTACTTAACACTAATTGAGGCGAAAACATGTTGTTTCACCATCGTTCGGCCATTTGTAAAAATTCATAGGTTCCTGATATTTGAACATTTCTCTGCCTTGTTATTATTATTATTTTTAAACACTTGACAATTTCCCCAATAACAGGTTTTGCTGAAAACTATAACATCATGAGTTATCCATGCTATAAACACACAAACTACTATAAGGTATTATTTTCAAGTTTGTTAGTACATACTAATCAACAATTCAAACTGAATTCAATATTGAGACTATGTGAATCTGTAGGGATTTGGATTGATTTCAAGAAGAAGTGGGTGCTCATCGAAAGCGTTGTTTGAAAGTAGCTAGAATTCACGGGTCATTAAATTCCGATCAGAGCCTGGTTTCATAACTTCAAGGTCGGGAATTCGACCCCTTGTGGGGTCGCGGGTGAGCACTGATGAATAATCTCAAAACAGGACGAAACAACTGTCCAGTGCTCCCAGCTGGTTTTCAGTGATCTCTAAATGATGTTGGTTCGTGAAGAAATCTAAACTAGATCTAATATTACTGCTCGTTTTCACAGAGCACAGCTGTTTCCTTATTAAAAGTCCATTAGGCTTATTTTATCCATATTTCATCACATCCTATAGGAATTAGTATGAATGAAGTAATTATTTAGCAAAGTTATTAACAAGTATATTAATCTTACCTCTTAATCAGGATTCCAAACAATTTTTGGAAGTTATAGATGATAGCTAATTTACAACTGATTCATAAATTTGATTCAAATGATACACTTCCCTAGCTAAAATCACGTGAAAACTTCAACCGAAAATATCATATTTAAGTGTGTACAGAGAAATTTTGCCGCCACTAGTTTGTGACTTCAAATCCTGAGATATAACAATACTAAGAATGAAATAATCAGTGTGTTTTTTTAAGTAGGGATTACTTCTTTTCAGTTTCTATGATTAAATATTGAAGGTCTCTTTTTGTGATGTGAATGTATGTAGCCAAAGACTCGAATAAAGGCAAGTGATGATACTGTACTTTTAAACTGAGATTAATACTCAAGTTGAATATGAATGAAAGTTGGCAAATCTATTCGTAAGAACCAGAAGACGAAACTTGGGGGATACTGAATTGTCATCCTAGACAGCAAAAGTGTATTTAAAACTTCTTTTTATCCTGTCATTACTAGAGGATTATCCTCTGAAAAACTTAGTACAATGAAGTCCTCTTACTGATTCATATAACCTTTAAAAGTTTAGATGATTTTTCAGAAATCTATTAAGAATTGACAATTTCAACTCTTTGATATAAATATCAGCAAGTAGATGAGATGAATAAAAGTAAAAGAGATCATAGAATAATTTGGGAGTGTAATTGATGAGACAGTTAACTCTAAATACTTCTTTGTTTTAAATAGCCCTCCGGATTGCACAGACTCACATTTACAGGCTGTTGTGAAGTTCTAGTTTCACTGTTATTTGACGACTAGAGGAAACAACTAATATTTGACAGAAATGTAGATTTATTTTATCTGACCTGAATAAATAATTATGTGTAAAGACTGACGGTTCGAATCAGGTCATAATTCATATCTGCTCTCGGCTTCAGATAACCCACTAAATAAAGAGTTTAAAGTTTAGTCTAATGTAAAATAAAATTTTATCACTTATCAGTAATTCTTGTCCATCTTCGCTTATCCGGAAATCACCCTCGTTAAAAGTCAAAATGTGTGAGTCGGTGGCACAGTGGTAGAATGTCCGCCGATCACGCTTCATGTGGTCCGGGGTTCGATCCCCGGCCACAGACGCAGTAGTAAGACTGGTAAAGAGAAAAGGTTGGACATGAGGCTAGCAATCCAATCCCGTAAAAATAAACACCACTGCTACCGAAACTTCAAGCCTCTCTAGCTTGAAGCCTTATGTTCCACTGGGAACGTAGAGGAATAAAAAAAGTCAAAAGAAATTCTGTTTTAAATGAAATTTTTATTGTATAGTATTGTATAGTCTGTTTTAACATATTGTCAATAATTGAAATTGATTCACTGTGGAAATATTTTAGACTGATGTGACTTTCCAGTTGTCATCAATGAAATCAACCGAATCTTTGAAAATCAATCTAGTGCTTACAATTGATTGATTGCAGGACGGAGTTTTTAAGAGAAGTTGTGAAGTCGTGGAGTCCACCAAGTCGGGAGTTAGGAAAAGTAGTACTTATCGATAACATTGACTGCTGGTTGCACTGTATATCGAAAATATGAAATTAGAAATGGACTCCATCCCAGTGGGTTTACCTCGTAAACCGAAGATCTGCTGAACAGTCCCAACCTAGGACGAAACAGCTTTCCAGTACCCGCTGATTACCAATACATCTGCAACTGATGTTAGTTTGTGACCTACTTGATATCTAAGGGTTAAGGAAATTACTCATCGATCATACTAGGCAGTGTCAGTTTTTATTCGTGAACACGTTTCTACTTGCTTAGAAATTTCACTTGAAACTTTTTAAGAAATACGATTTTCAATGTTTGATGTTTTGCCTGTTTAAATTTTAGAATTTCGGGGGAAACATTCATCTGTTTATTTTAAATATCTGTTTAAATAAATACCACATTTATGATGACATATACACCAATGACAGTTCTTCCAGAATTATCTAATAACCTACAACACACCGCTCAATGTGATCTTACAACAATGAAACAATACAATGCCAGTAATAATACTAATATTTTCAATTCTTATCCACTATTCCCGGTGAATTCTTTTGATATACACAAAATATCACAACAGCAGAATATCAACAACAACAATAACAGCAACAGCTCTTCTTTCCAATACGACAGTAAGGCAGAGATCTATAGAAAACTTGATACACGGATATCTGGTAAAGACTTCACAAGCAACAGTAAGAAAAGGAGTCAATTTAAAAATATGCCAGTAGTTCGATCTCCAGACTTCCTGCATAATGTTAATTTCCCAACCTATGAAAGACTTAGTGGTGAAGCAATAGAGGAGAAGCTATTATCCGATTTGAAAGACACAAATGGTAAGTTTCATTATCCAGGAATCTTGCTGATATAAACAGTTCTACTTTCTTATCATTCGCCTATTGTTTGTTACTGAGCAAGTTCTAGATTTTAGGAATAAATTTTATTGCTTGTCTCTTTACTTATGATAAAATGTTATATCAGCTGATCGTATTTGCAGTTTACTGATCAGAAGTAACTCAGTTATTTTCGAATAATTAATGCAGATAGCTTTCTTGGCATTCCCTTAAATTTTTTGTTTGCTGTCAGTGTTACAACTAAAGAATATATCAATGAACAGAGATAGAGATTTTTTCCACTAGCACTTTGAGAAGCTAAAATAAAACACTTATTATTATTCCAGGTGGAACATAGGGCTTTAACAGCACATCACCTTTTTATTCTGTCCTCTTCAGTCTTCTTTAGATGGCTCAACGATTTTGCCTGTGAGTTTTCATCTTTTCACACGACCTCCTCCATGTCACCCTCTGACTAACTCTCAACTCGTCGTTTCCCATTCGGCTTTCACTCTAAGGCGGGATGTCCCTCAATGGTCTTCTCAGCACTTGTCCGATTCGTCTGCATTTCTTTCGGTATATTTGTTGAGCAGTAGGTTCTTGGTTCGTCTGTTGCAAGAATTTCTAATTCTTTTGACCGACTATGTTATCTTCAGTATGAAGCAGAGGCATTTGTTGATGAAGGCCTATAGTAAGAAGTTCAAAATGCTTTTGGTGACGCAGGAAATCTGTGTACTGTGTAGAAGCACTGATTTGACATTCATATTGAAAATCCGAATCTTGTTCCTTATTCTGAGTACAGTAGATTTCCACACTGAACTCAGAGTTATGAAGGTCTGTCTTTGTTTTTCCATCCTGCCGTATTTGACTGGAGTTGAAACGATTCTGTCTAGATAAGTGAAAGAAGTGACATAATTTGATAGCCTAGTCTCTGTTACAGTAGAGTTAGCTGCAATTCAATTATCAGGAGCGGAATTTTCATATATCAGGTCATGAGCCACACTTATTACGTAAGAGATTATTACACCATCTAGCTTCGCAGCTGTAGTAGTAAGTGGAGAGGTATCCGAACCTGAAACCATATGGCTCAAATTTACTTGCTGAAGCCTATAAGCCGTATCTCTACTAGTTAGACTGGACTGAATTCCGAGTGGCTTAATCAGAAGTGATTATAAAGGAAGAATGTTGACATACCTATCGTCACATCGTTTTAAATCTTTGTAAACTTTACAACAAATCGAAATGAACTTGTTGAAAATTCTTTGAATATCAGGTAGATATTTGTCTGAAATTCATTTTTATTACCATAGTCCTTTGTCACTTTAAGTTTGATAAGAATACATAACTACTATGACTTGCCACTGTTTTACAAATGGTAAACAGTATATAATGCTAAAAATTAGGGCTATCCTTCAATTTTGACGTGGATTATTTCATTCATACAATGAGATTAAAGACGTTTAGAGTACAGCTTATTTTTCATAATTACACCTAGGTAAATATGGACATTTTAACGTGATTTACATGACTCCACTGAATTTCATCGGGCGTTGCTGGTGAGGGATCGATTCCTGGCCGACACACTCCTAAACTTCATCGAATTTACTAGCCGGTGGGACGTTGGTCGTGAGGTTAGCAACCTCACTCCTTAGAAACAACACTACTGCCAATGAAGCTTCGAAAGCATGAAGCCCAATGTTCCACTCGGAACACAAAGAATGATAAAAACTGCTTTTCATAATTCAGTGATTTTTAAAGGTAGCAGTATTTTCCAAGTATCAGCAAACAGTACAGCACTGTCGTGTTCTTTATTAAATAAAGTATGGGATGACAACTTACCGCAATGTTCACACTCCACTCCTTATTAATGTGCTTAACTGAGTGAATATTGCGTTTTTTATTTTTATTTTTATTCCTTTACGTTTCCAGTGGAACATAGGGCGGCTTCAAGCTAGAGAGGCTTGAAATTTCATTAGCAGTGGTATTTATTTTCCCGGGATGGGGTTGCTAGCCTCATGCCCAACCTTTTCTCTTTACCAGTCTTACTACTGGCTAAGCGAGGTTTTGGAATGCGTCTGTGGCCGGGGATCGAACCCTGGACCACATGAGGCGTGGTTGGCGAGCATTCTACCACTGTGCCACCGACGCACGAATATTGCGTTACACTATACTATTTATAGAGTGATTATTTTAAATTTGATAAATGCGATGTGATTTCCATGATGACATTTTCCTATGTATGACTTTGTCTACAGCATACGTTTCCCGATTACTTTATCCTACTATACTGAGTTCATTACTGTATTCTTCATCTTACTTTTTAGCTCCCAGAGACATGAGAGTTCGCAAACAAACACGTTCAAATGTAGGTTCTACACGTTTTAATAAACACAGACTCAGACAACCTCAGATTAAAAAAGAAACTGCAAAATATGCTAATGGATTCTTAGACAACTTCAACATTAACCATCTGGTAAATTATAATCTTCCTCCAGGCTTTTTATTTCAAGGTGAAAATGGTGATAAAAATGCAGACTCGGTAAATCAAATCGTCAAAAACGATGATGTCAACAATATGCCTACTTCATCTCTGCTACCAAACTATTATTTTGGGCAACAAAATTTACCATTCACACCTAATCATTGTACTCCTGATACTGTATCAGGAAGTCTAATCAATCCAGCGTCTTTACACAGTAATAATTTCAACCAAATATTATCCCCAACACAGTTATCATCTCATTTTCATCAATACTGGCTTCAGTTAATCAATGCGCCGACATTAACACCGAAACCAACAATTAGTAGTAATACATCTCAAACAGATTGTCTACTACCCCATCAGACATCCTCGTTGAACTTCACACCGAACATCGACAATCTAAAACCTCCAACAAACTTTATTCCAAATGATTTACAAACACTCAGTTCTTTATTCTATCAAGCTATTAAACAGTTACAAGTAAATAATGATTTATCAGCCAGTTTTCCTTCAATCAATCAACAAAATCTAAATAGTGTACAAAATGCAACAGGTGATCAGAAAGAAGCAGACAATGATGACAGTCAGTTTAATTCTTTAGGAAACAGACTCACTGAACAAAACTGTTTCATTTCACCAACGAATCGGAGTCCTAATTACAGGAAATTGAATAGGAATACTATGAGTTCTCATGTTTCAATGAATCAACAAAAATTAAATACTAAATCGATGAAGTGTGATACAACGTTACAAAATACACAGAATAATCAAAATTTATCCATCACTGAGGAAGAAGAAGGAGAAGGAGAAGGTACTAGTGGAGGTAATAATGACGATCATGTTGAGATAGATGAACTTGACTGTTGTGATGATGGTGATGCTGATGATGATGAAGTCATCTTAGATGTTGAAGAAAACTCCTCTCAAAATCATCAAATGAATATTTTCAAATGTAATTTATGCAATAAATACTTTGCCACTGCACATGGATTGGAAGTACATGTTAGAAGGTGAGTTGATTATGTGATAAAATCCGTTTTTTGTCATTAAGCCTATAACAATCGATACAGATTTCAGGAATGTTAAACAGTGACTCTGACGTCATCTAAGTTGCATAAAAATCAAAGTCGATTATCACTGAGATTAGGTGAACACAGAAGTAGGGAATCATTAAAATAGTGATCCACTAAATGAATGTGAGTCACCTCACCTTGTCACTTGAGCTAAATTCTATACAAGTTTATGAGTACACACAAATGAAGAGTCTTAAATGGTATAGAAAAGCTATTGACGGCTTCTTGTCCATCAGTGACTAACTGTCTTATTTCATTTTGTATTAAATGTTGTCTTGATATCAGCCAATTCATTACTAATCAACTAACTTTAGTAAAATATCCAGTTAGATTACGGAATTCTCTCTAACATTTATCCTTATGGTCAAGCGGTTTTCACTGTTCAGATGCGGTTCCATCACAGCTTCCGAAAGACATTAAGAAATACCTTCATCGATGTGCTAAGAGATCACTTAAGCTACTGAGAAACGGCTTATGAAAATTTAATATCCCACTATAGCAATCCTTAGTGCTTTACTCGATTCAGTAGAATAATTCAAAAGAGATCTTGACATCTGAATTGTCATTCTCCTAGTTGATAGATGACTATCAACCACTGTAAGATTACATGTAAATTACTGTAATGTGTAATGTATTCGCGCAACACATTTAGGATATCCCGATCATAGACATGCTTGTTACACACAGTTATATAGAAGGCAAGACAGCATGAATTATTACAATACAAGTCAGATGGTGTGTATTGTGTGTGTGACAAGCACGTCTATGATCGGGATATCCTAAATGTGTTGCGCAAATACATTACACGTTTCAAATAAACTACGTCTCCTTATTGTTTTGTCAAAATTCATAAAGGGAACTAATTGCTTTAAAATTCTTGGAAAGGCGTTTGATTCTACTCGGGGATATCTAAAAACGTCAGATTAATGAAGCCATGAACTTCTTCATTAGTCAACCCCATTAGAAATCCTTAAGTAGAGTGATTTAAAGCAAACATTTTGTCGAGAAAGGATGATAAGTTTATTGTAATGTAGAATGTACGTAAGCAATATGTGGTTTTTTTTCTATTTATACCTGTTAAATACTTCAAGCTACTTGCTGTCTATCAAACACGGGAAAATACATATTGCCTCAGTTCCTATATGGACATAAGATAGAAATACTGGTGTTTACTTTGTTGGTCTAAGTTACCTCTAAAGTTTAACAAACTTTACTCCTGCATAAAGTATCTTTGTTCGATGAATATTTTTAGACTGAACGTTATTGATTACTATATATGTATTCATGTATTTTATATTTTTTCTTTCAACTGAACAGGTCACACAACAATGGTAAACGTCCATTCGAGTGTCAACTCTGTCAGAAAACATTCGGTCATGCTACAAGTTTATATCAACATGAAAGTGTACACTGTCAAGATAGACAATTTCAATGTCCACAATGCGGAAAAACATTTAAACGTTCGTCTACATTGAGTACACACTTATTAATACATAGTGATACACGTCCTTATCCATGTCAGTATTGTGGAAAACGCTTTCATCAGAAATCTGATATGAAAAAACATACCTATACACATACTGGTAAGTGAAGTGTGCTAAAGATGCAAAGTATTTATCCGACTTCCGTGTATGCACACTTACCTTATCTCATAATAAACTCATTTTCGTTTTATAACTTTAATGATTATGGCTTTACATAACACGATTCCTATTTAATGGAAGCTTGTAAAAATGAATACTAAAAAGCATAAAATTAAGCTTCTTAGAAGTTGCTGTAAAGCTCTTGCTGATGAGACTTTTGAGATATTACTTTAACTGTTATCTACAGCTGTACTTGAAGAAGAAACTGAAATATGTAGGACGATAGTATTACACCAAGAACTGTCTTACCACCTTTCTACTCAGTTAAAAATGTTATCTGCTGATGAAGGTTCTGACTGGAACATAGGGCATCAAAAACACATCTGCACTTTGTCCTGTTTTCTGCCGTCCCCTTCAGGTTGGTCCACGATTGCACATAATCTCTCATCTCCTCCAGATCACATGATCCCCTCCATGTCACCCAGTTAGTGATGGCCCACTAGTCGCTTCCCATTGGGATTCCACTCTAGCAATCGCCTGCATTGCATGCGATGTCATTCGACGGTCTTCTCAATGTTAGCCCGATCCATCTACATTTTCTCCTACATATTTGTTGAGAAATTGACTCTTGGTTGGTTTGTTTCCAGCCAGAGTTTTTTGTTGCTAATTCTCTCTGGCTGGCCGACTGGTCATTTTATCTTTAGTATGGAGACAGCAAAGGGGGCAGTTGTTGCCAAATATCGGTAGCTTGCTGAAAATCCTTTTCGTGACACTCTGGCCAAGTTTCTGATCCGTACAGACAAAATTATTGAATTCGCACTTGTTTTGAAAATCCGAATCTTGTTCTTTACGCTGCCTGAGTCAGTGCAGAAGATTTCCAAACTGGTTTCCGGTTAATGCAGGCGTATCTTGCCTTTCCGAATCTGACTTTAACGCCTTCATCCTTTCCGCCTGTGGTTGGAACGATGCTTCCTAGATAAGAGAAATAGCTTGTATCAGTTTGTGATATCCTTTTTAGTTAAATAAGGTAAAATAATTGAATACAAAAGAAAAGTAAATATTAGCTTGTGATCCGTGACCTTACTCTAATTATTTTTCTCTTTTCAATGAACTGAAAGGACTAAGTGTCTGTAAACAGCCAATAAGAATCTGTTTGTGCTTTGTAGTAAACTTCAGTTTAGTATTTCATGGGAATGTGACTTCTTTATGAATTTACAATTTAATCTCTGAGATCATTGCTTTATGAAATTTGATGAAATGTCGTAACTAATGAATGCCAAAAGTTTGTGATTTCAAAATAGCCATAAGATCCAGCAACACCTGTAGTATTAGTAAACTGTTACTGAATAGTTGGAGGCATTCAGTAGGAAGCCTTGGATGTAGATTATCTGCTTGCTGACAATCAACAATCAGCAAGGCGTATCTGTGATTATGAAGGACCTCATGTCACCCATTACCGCAGTTAAAGACGTTGTCAGTGGGTTGTTCAGGCTAGCGATTGTCCTTCCGTAAGATTGCATTGGATAATTCGGCTGAACATTAAACTAAACTGCATGATCTCCTCCAGCAACATTTAACTCAAATAACAGAATAAATTTTTTAAGTATTATTTTAAACAACTCATTAGTATTCTTTATAGTCTCGAATTTTTAAATTATATTTAATATTATTCTTATTTGTTTTCATTAGGCGAAAAACCTTACATCTGTTTACAGTGTGGCAAAGCATTTAGTCAATCATCAAATCTGATAACACATTCACGAAAACACACCGGTTTCAAACCGTTCTCCTGTTTCCATTGTCTACGTGCATTTCAGCGTAAAGTTGACTTAAGACGTCATATTGAAACACAACATGGTGCAATGGATCTATTGGGCAAAGATTATTCATTGGATGGATTAGAAAAAGTCACACTATCTAATAATGGTAACAGTAATCTCAAAAAACCTCGATTACATCAACAGAATAAAACAATTATTGATTCTGCTTCACCGCTGATCCCTTCATTGTCTTCTCCTTTGCCTAACAGTTTTTCAAGTCCACAGAATCAATCACATTCCATTGAAGCAGTAGATTCTTTCAATTGCTTTAATGGTTCCAGTGGTTCAACTGGTTTAGATTTATCCAGCCAAACAATCACTAATCAAATTATCGCCAGTGGTAATAGTAGTAGCAGTATTAGCCATACTATTAATCATTGTACCAATGACTGTGATACATCAACTCATACAATCCGCCATACATCAAGCCCAAATCATTTACACCTCAATAATGATGAGAAAGCATTACCATATTCAGTGGAAAATCTGCTCAGTTCAACTTCATCTTCATCCAGTTAATTAGTTAATTAATAATAATCATAATAACAATAATAATGGTTAGTGAATAAATATTACACGCGCATTACTTTTTTTTGCATTGAACTATGTATACACACATAAACATACTACTGATTACAGTGTATACTTGAAGTTTTGCTTTCAATTTCGACCATTCAATTCTCATCAGTTATTTCACTAGTCGCTTCATTTTACTTCTTTGATTTCATGTAAGATGTAAAGAACTACTATTGACCAGTCTATTGATAATACATACAATGATATCCTTCTATTGTTGTTATCATCACTGTAATTGTTTTCCCTTTTTTTGTACTAGGCTACAGACACTACACGCACCCACTGATTAAATGATTTATTAGTAGTTGAATAATTTTATTTATTTGCTTCGATTTAATTAAAATATTATTATTATTATTAGTAGTAGTAGTGAAGGAATTCGACTTTTTCCTCTCGCATATTTCTGTTGTAATCTCTTGTCTTGAAAAGTTAGATAATAAATAGATGCGCTTGGTGAGATCATCTTGGTCTAAAAGAGAAACATTCAGAAGACAACAAACTATAGCTCACAGAATACTAAATTATTATCATTCCCTTGGGTTCCAGGTGGAACATAGGGAGTGAGCAACACACCACCGTTTCATCCTGTTCCCTGCTGTCCTTTAGCTTCCCTTTCCCTGCCCACAAGATGCTTCGCATGTCACTCTCGGGCACCGAACTTATCATTTCCCAATCAGGCACCACTCAACGGTCTCTTCAAAGTCTGTTCAATTCATCTTCATTTCCTTCTGCATATTTGTTGGACAATAGGTTCTTGGTTGGTGTGTTCCCAGAGTTCTTTATTATTATTATTATTTAACCTTTCTGGCTATCTGATACTTAGTATGGAGTGAAGGTGGCTGCTTATTGGTAATGCTTTTGGTGACGCATGCACCGTGTTTCTGGACCATTGGCTGATTTGATGCTGAGTGCAGCAGATTTCCACACTGATTTTGGAGGAATGAAGGTTTTTCTCGCTTTTCCGATTCTAGCTTTGACATCCTCATAGGTCCCGCATGTAGCTGAGACGGTAGTGCTCGTTGCTAGTAACTGGTACTTTCTGCTATTATTGCTGTTGTTGGTTAGTTATTTTCATCACTTCCGCCTTCTCTATGTTTATTTGGTGTCCTGTCTTCGACTGATGGCTTGTTGGTTTTCGTCTGTAGATCTTCGAGTTGATATGACATTAGACATAAGTCGTCCACAAAAGTCCAGATCTTCTCGGTTCAACATTTGTCCACCTTCTCTTTACCCACGTCTGCCACATGACCCACCCCGCTAAAATCAAGAATATCATCGGTGATAATAAGCAGCAATCTGGTCTTACTCCTTCACCTAGCCTAGTCTACTGGTTCATTAAATTACTAGCCAGTTCTAAACCCGGAAATGTAGGAAAGGCTTGGCATCGGGTTAGTGAACCTATCCCAGGAAATCAATAGAATCACTACAAGAACTTTAAAGCATAGAATACCATATACATATCATAAAAATAGAATATGGGCAGACAATCACCACTTAATCAGTTGTCTACAGTCAAAAGTGTGTTAACTATATCGCAAAGACAATCGATACTGTGAATACCTAAATACCGCGTAACATTTTTAAATTCGAACAAAGCAAGAACAACAATTGTACCTGGATAATATGAGCTCATCTTTTATTATTTCGAGGATTCTTCTCAACTGGTTACAACCTGAACGATGAAAAATATGAATTACATTACATTAAATATTTGAACATAATTTACCACGATCACAAGGAGTAATTGGTAGGAAGTAAAAGTAGCATTAGTCCGCAATGATTTAACTAATTAAGAGTTACAAACACTGACTATTTATAGAATAATTCAAATGAACTGTGATCAATATTTGACAGTTTATAAATATTTATAGAATAATTAGTCAATTAGGCTTGGAAACAAAAACAAGCTGTTGTATATATATTTTTTGTTGTCACCAAGGCAGTGCAAGATTCACCACTGTCTCTTTCTGCGTACATAGATTTGGTTTAAGTCGTCTGATAGCAATTGCTTCAGCAAAGCGTAGCAAGTTAGGTTTCTTGTGCTTGTTGATTATTTTGAATGACTTCAAGTTGTCTACATTATGACCAGTGTCTAATAGATGACGCGCAATTGCACTGTTTAATACTTGTGGACCTTTCAGTCTCAGGTTCTTTGGTATGTGTTCAGAAATACGGACAATAACCCTTCTCTCTGTTCTTCCGATGTAGGTGCTTTGGCACGTACATGTAAATTGGTAGACACAGTTGGAGGTAACATGAGGTGGGTATTTGTCCACTTTTGATTGTCTCAAACAACTAGTTGTTTGATAAACACATACAAGCTTGGCGGCTGGATATGTTCTTTTCAGGGCAGCGTTCAGTCTGCATCTTATTCTACTGGCAGTATCATCACCTTTGAATGCAAGCTGCAGAAAGATAGGCTTTTTCTCTACTGTGCTGATTTTTAAATTCATTTTTCGACTGATGATGGATTACACTGAATTCTCTGGTGGGTAAGGAAAATCCTCTATCAAGTTTAACCTCCACAAGAATCTAAACGTTCACGTCCATACCTCAGCAAATGCCAATAGGTTTTCTTAACCATATCGGTTGATATCAACCAAGTGACTTGCACACATATCTAGTGAGTATATACTAATCAACAATTTCAAAGTATGATGAATAATTTTCCCTGTATAACTCTGTGATCGATTTCTTGTAGATAGTGTTTGTTGCTGAACTAACTGCATTGTTAGTGAAACCGCATATACTACTAATCTCCCTCCATAGTGGAAAGTATGCTATTAGAATCCACTTATACTGAACACATTTTTCTCACTTACTTTGAACTATGAGCCTGTGAGAGATGATGGTCATGACGATAATGATATACTACCCAGCTGCCCAAGTAAACATTAGGGAAGAATAGGATTTTCCTTTCATACAGGAAAGTATGCCAAGATAATTCTACCTCTCACTGATTGACTAACGTTCATTTAATGAAATAAAAAAGAAGAAAAGAATCCTCTAATGAACACCTTTTGTAAAATGAAACTACTTTCTGCTAAATTAAATTTCACAGATTCATATTAAATTTCAAAACTTAATTATTTCATCTTATACTTACCGGTCATTTCAATGCTTGATTTTTTAGAAAATCTGTTTCTCTGTCTTTCTCTTAAACATTTCACTTTCCATCCCTTAAGTTCAAAAATTGTTATCACACTGGTAGATTTTTCCTCTCTCTCTGTTGACCGGTTATACTTTAAGAACAGTAGAGGTGTTATTTCCAAATAATGTATCAGGGAGAATATTATACAGGAATGTGAAAGAAAAGATTTCTCTCCCCATCCTTACTTTCTTTTTGTACCCCAAGGGAGTAGATATTTATGCAAAACAAAACAGTAGTGATATTAATTGCATGTACCTATGTATGTATACATGTATGCATGATTGTGTATTATCATTGAGGTTGGAAAGCAGCCTACTGGGAAGAGTAAAATGAGACATATCTAACACCTTATTCGTTTAATTCACTTTTAGATTTTCATGCCGATTGATTGGACCGAAGTGCTCGGTCTCAGGTTGACGTGTCGGCTTCTTGTGTAGATGTTTCAACGATATCTGGGCATTTAATTAGAAGTTAACTGGTGGATGCTGACTAGCAGTAGAGTCCAGTCAGGATGCGCACTTCGTCCTACTTGGAACTCGTCATCTGAATGCATCCGCATTCCCCAGTGAGTGATGAGGTTCCCACCGAGGCTCGAACCCAGTGCCCATAGTTTCAAACGCTAAAGCGTCATCCACTAGACCACGAGAGCCACCTCTTGGGCAACGGGTCACTGCGGAATGCGGTTACACCCAGATGACGAGTCCCAAATAGGATGAAATGTACATCCTGGATTCCACTGCTAGTCACCATCCACCTATTAACCTTATTCGTTTGTTTGTTTGCTTGCTTACTAGCCTGTTGCCCTTTTTTCCCCAGATCTCTCCAACATACTATGTGTATATTATACAGGTGATAGAGAAGATACCCTTTAACACACTAATTTAGATGTGGAGGTAACAAAAGATCAAAGGAAATGATCCAAATTGTCTTATTCAAGTGTGACTATTAAGAGGCTAAAATAACACAAATTATAAATTAGTTTAACTTTAGCATTTGACATTCAAGTCTGTAAAATGGAAGACATACTACACCTATTGCCCAATCAACTTTTTACATTTTACTTCGATTAATTTACAAGTGAGTGAGTGGGTTAACAAAATTGAATTATTCAAAAAAGGGGTTTTGAATAGAAAAGCTTTTACTAATAAAGTAATCTATTGTATAAAGAATGATTGAGTATTATTCAGCTTTCAATGAAGGTGTATGCATGTTACTGATTTTAAGAAGTAGACGAAGTTATCAGACAATATTCACAACTTATCGGTCTTCTTAACTTACTTATTCTCTGTGCCTATCTATTCTGTAAACACACAGATATATTTATAGTCACTCTTATTAGATAAACACTCATTTAACAATGATATGATATGTGATACATGTTCAAGATCCAACATTCAAGATTCATTGAAATTATTATTCTGGAATGATGGACAGATGGTTCAGGTTTCAGTGTAAAAACAATAGCACTCACTGAGAATGCAGGCACACTGAACTTACGAATCTTAAGTAGCAGAAGACGATGTAAGTTAGAGAACCATTAAAAACCAGGGAGTACTGGACAGCTGTTTCGTCCTAGTTTGGGACTCTTCATCAGTACGCACCCACCAACAGGGGTTCCAACCCAGGACCTTCTGGTTACAACGCGAGCTCGTATACCATTAAGCCACTGGGACCCGATCCAATGGCCTATGAATTCTAACTTCTGCCAATTCGCGACATAATGCAACCGCTAGCCAATGTCTTCGGCGAGTATTTGTCCTCACACCCGACCTGCTTCACCCTACTGGTCACGACTTCTCACTAGAACCCCAGGTAACTACCTACCTGAATAGGGCCAGTCGCTAGTGGGCATCTCATTGATATTCAAGTGTTGGTTTGTACGGATTTGATTGGTTACAGGATTTTCATCATGAGCTGACATTAGTTAGAGAAGCACTGGAAAACCTGGGAGTACTGGACAGCTGTTTCATCCTAGTTTGGGACTCTTCAGCAGTACGCACCCACCAGTACTCCCAGGTTTTCTAATGGTTCTCTAACTAATGTCAGCTCATGATGAAAATCCTGTAACCAATCAAATCC